GAAGATTCTTTGAGGTCTAAACGCAGCGCAAGTTTATTTCAGCAGTCCACTCTAACGCCCACAAATCATGAAAAACAAAAATCTTTGAAATCTCAGGAACTGTTAGAGCTAGAAAGTTGAAATTTAGTTTGTTTAGCCAGCCACATATCCGGCCACACCCACTCTTACGCCCATCAAGCTCGAATGACGGTTTTCTCCTTTTGTAGAAAAACTGATATCTCGGTAAATATAATATATGTGATAGAAAGTTCGGATTAAACATGTATTAATTTTTGGTACCCCTAATGCACATTGTTTTTTCCGATCACGCCACGCCCACAAAAGGCAATAAAACTAAAAATGCGAAAATCTCGGGAACTATAAGAGGTAGAAAGTGGTGCTTAAGAATACGTATTCAAGAGATGCCCCTGAAACTTTACCTTAGTGTTTATCCGGCCACGCCCACTCTAACGCCCACAAACCGCGGAAAACTCTGGCGTCCATAATGATATAGTGTATGTCTTCGTTTGACCTTGTATAACATAATTTTGCCAATATTTATCGATTTACCAAAGTTTTTTTTAATCGGAACATTATTTTGCTATTTATGAAGAAATTTAGGTTTAGGTTTTAGGGCAGTGTCGTTACTATCAATTCCTCAACATTCTTTTTCTGACAATAGGTGGCGCTTGGGGAATTTCCACTAGCAAAATGAATATTTTGAAATTATGTAAAACTGTAGCGGGTATCTTCGCTTCCTCTTGTTACAATCATTGTATTATTATATTTACTTTGTTATAGGCATTTGCAAAAAGGATTACGGGTATTGGTGAATTCCATTTTTAAGTGGTAAAGGTTGGGATTGTATGTTTTGAATTTGAACACAGATTTTTCGGTTAGTTAGAAAGTTTATTTAATATTTTATAATTTTAATCCTAATTTCGAATTAACGAGTTCATCTATGATTGTGTGAATTCCTATTTTGTCAAATGCTTTTGAGATATCTACTGAAATTATTGAAAGGTGACTTTTTCTGGATAGGGTGGTGGTATTCAGATAATCTAGTGTTGCTAGAGAGTCTGATACCGATTTTTCCTTTCTGAAGCACATTTGACGAGTATCGTGTAGCTGGCTATTGTTAACTAGCCACCATAGTCTTTAAGATAATATTTTATCCATTACTGTGGATAGATAGCTATTTAAAGATATTGTTTTAGAGTTTAAGTAGCCTTTGCTTTACCGAATCTGGTAGATTTTTAATCGTTGGGTAACTGATGCGGTCCTACCTGGTGTTTTCCCTTTAAGTTTGATTATGGCGCATTTTAATTTAATAATAGAAATATCGGATTTTTAGGGTTGGGTTTGCGAGGATGTACTGTGGGAGAAATTGTAGTTTATGTCTTCTTTGTTTGATCTAAAAGTAGGGTGGAAGTTATTATTAAGTTATGCATTTGACCAAAATTCACATAGTGCTTTGGAGGTGTCATATTTGTTTGTACGGGTTGGGTATCGAATGTATTACTAGGGTTAATAAGGAAATAAATCTGGCTGTTAGTTTTCAGGAAACAGAATCTATTGAATTTTATCCATATTGTTGGAATTGGAGTTTGTTTGTTTGGATTTATGTCTTAGGTAAATTCTTGCAAGGCTTTCCGTTTTTTTGCATTATTTCTCGTTTGTGTATTTCGTTGGCTTTTTTGTAAGTTATACATTGGTTGTATTTATATTGCGACACATGTTTTGCCAGGCTAATCAGTTCATTCATTTTCAAAAAGTTGAATTGAGATCGGGAAGTGTTTTCCTCGTGAGTAATTATTTTGTGATTCCCAACTTTTGTACCAGCTGTTAAAATCGTCTGTTATTAGAATAGGGGCGTAAATAAAATTGTAAGTGTCTTGTAATTCTTGTAGAGTGAATGGTTTGTTAGGAAGGATATAACTGGAAGTTATAGGAAATTTGATTTTAGAATGTACGGTTACGGCGATTGAGCCAAAGCTTATATTGCGGATTTGGTTCCGCCATAAGGGTTTTTCGAGTTATTTATGTGGTAGAGGGTGAAGTTTATTGAGATGGGAATATTATTTGTAGAGTTGAGGTGTGCATCTTGAATGGATATTCTTTTACGGTTGTGATTTTTATGAGTATTTGTAGGTGGTTATAATTATTGAGGTATCCATTTCATTTAATTGTAATATTTTTACCATATTAAAATAATTTTGTTTAGTATATTTTGAATAATTTCATAGGCCTAAATCTTCATCAGTACTCATTGTTTACTTATTTGCAGATATTTTGCTTTTAGTTTTCTTACCACTTTTAGTTTTTTGGTTGTTGTTTTTTTCTCTTGATTTCAATGTAGTACTCAACGTATTTGTTTTAGCTGAGAGTATTTTAAGTTTTAGTTCGTCGAAAATTTGTTTAAATTCGTTATATAGAATGCGGCCTGTCTTGTGGTCCACTTCTTGGGTTGTTTTGATAGCAGTCAGTTCTTTTACTGGTTATACTGGTTTGGGTATTGGTGCATGGTTCGTTGTTTGTTGTGTGCATTTTTTCTGAGCAATTAGCGCATGTTTTAGGGCTTTTACAGTAAGCGGAGGGGTGTCCCGATCTAAGGCAGTTGAAGCATCTCATTGGAGGTGGAATGTATGGTCGTAGATTAACTACTTCATAATTTGCCGGGGAGGGTAATTGTTGCTTGTTAATTGTTGTTGTTGTTAGTACAATAAGGCTACTTTCTGTCGTTTTATTTGGATCGTTGTTGTCTTTTTTTTAGTATTTTACGGATGTCAATAACATTTTGAGGTTTTAGATTATTCAAAATTTCTTGTTCGTCGATATTCCGTAGATCATTGAAGTAGATAATGCCTTTGGAGTAGTTCAGAGTTTTGTGTTCTTCAGCGTGGACCGGGAAGTTGTGAGATGACTGTATTTTAAGTAGTTTCTGTGCTTTTATATAGTTTTTTGTTTTGATAATAAGGGTTTCAGATCTAGTTTTCTTACAAGTTTCGACTGCTCCCTTACAGGCGAAGTCAACCACTTTTTTTATTATAAACGGTGATATTTTTTCAAAAGTTTCATTGTCGGTTCTACTTACAATAATATATTTTGGTTCACTTGTTATCAAGTTTATCTTTCTCAATGGACGGTCGTGTGGTCGAGACAATGCGGTGTTTTTGGGCTCGGACCCTGCCACGTGTAAGAAGGTTCACTTGTTCTTCGTGTTTTTCTTTCATGTGTAATTGTGTACGAAGTAGTCGCGAATCGGGTGATCTATTTATAGATTAAATTGATAAGCTGTCGCTTTGAGCGGAAGTAAGTCACACGTCTTAATCTTTGAAGCTCAGAGTGAAACTGATGAATAGATAAATTTATTTTATATAATATACTATAAACAAGAGGAAACGCTATAGTCGAGTGCCGCGAGAAATGGCTAGCAGATTGGCGCATAAAGGCTAACGAGCAAAACAATAAACACGTCACCTTTGCTCTAAACAGACAAACTTGCATCCCACTGTCTCTGAACAACATCTATATTCCACAAACAACTGAAGTACCATATCTTAGAGTCCACCTCGACAGAAGGCATACTTGGCGAAAACACATCGAAGCTAAAAGAACACAACTTAAATTAAAAGCAAGCCTACATTGGTTAATAAATGCCCGTTCTCCGCAAAAAATGGACTACAAGATTCTTCTGTACAACGCAGTTCTCAAGCCAATTTGGAAATATGGCTCCGAGCCATGGGGAATCGCATGCAATATAAAAGTAATACAGCGAGCTCAATCACAGACACTGAGAACTATAATTGGTGCACCGTGATACATATGGAATGAAAACATTCACATAGATTTTAATGTGGGATATGTTAAAGAAGAATTAGAAAATGTAAAAGCAAAATATACGATCAAGCTAAAGCTTGAGCGGTCTCTATCATGTAACACTAGCAACTCACGATTGAGGAGAAAAGATCACCCCACCCACCAACAACAGCTGGGCCGTTCTCTTAAAAACACTTAATTTTAAACTTATGTATTAGGCTAAGATTTGAATACTTATCGTCAGTCTTGAAGAGAAAAGATTTGATAAATAAATACCGTAATAAAAAAAAAAAACAAGAGGAAACGCTATAGTCAGTTGCCGCGACTATAAGTTACCCTTTACTGTTTTACACAATTTTAAAATATTCATTTTGCTAGTGGAAATTCACAAGGCGCCACCTATTGTCAGAGAAAGCATGTTGAGCAACTGATAGTGACGTCACTGCCCATGTGTGACCTTATAACATAAATTTCTTCATAAATAGCGAAATATTGTTCCGATTTAAAAAACCTTCGGTAAATCTATAGATATAAACAGAAATAAGTTATACAAGGTCAAACGAAGGCATTCAAATTAATATTATAGAAGCCACAGTCTTTAGCGGTTTGTGGGCGTTAGAGTGGGCGGGCCGGATGAAAACTCGTGACAAGTTGCAGTGGCATCTCTAAAATACGTTGTCTTAAGCCTAACTTTCTAGCTAGATTTTTAGCATTTTAGCATTTATGTTATTGCATTTTTGGTTTTCTGGGTCGGCCACAAACGTTAGGGAGGCTAGATGGAAAAAAAAACAATTTGCATTTGGGGCATCATTAAATCTACATGATTAGTCCGCACTTTCTTTCTCTTATAATTACCGAGATATCAGCTTTTCAAAAAAAATGCAAAAACCTGGTATTTAGGTGCAAAGTCTTGTGAAGTAAGGAGAGATCCGCCTGTCTGCCCTATGAAAGTGAATATCTCGGGGAAAATAAGACGTCCTGAATTTAGTTAGTAGTAGCTTAACTGTCTTCCAACCACACATAATTTTTTTATTCAGAACAGTTTTAAAATGTTATGATGAAATTCGATGTTATTTGGTATTTTAATATTTATTTAAATTTTATGTTATTTATTTTAACTGTTCCCCAACAAAGGAAATCTTATAGTCAATGAAGGTTTATTCTTGTTCTAATTTAATAATATGAATTTTTTCCATTTTCAGATAAAACAGTTCATGGCGACGGCAAACATATCAAGAACAATAATGGGAGAACGATATGGAATTTTTAAAACATTGTGTGCTGTATGAAATTCCGAACTTGTTTTTTAATTTTGATTAAACTTCTTAAAATTTTTTTTCTTCTGCGCATCAGAAACCATTTTATTGCATCCGAAACCAACGTATTTCATTTTGAGTTAAAAAAAATTAAATTTACACAACTGATACAATTTAAAATTTATAGTACTGAGCGAAGTCAAACATACAAATACAAAAATGCACTAAAATAGAAGTGGGGTTTTCAATGACTTATGTTAGCTTACGTTACATCGTGGCTGATGTGAGTATTTTGTAAGCTTTAGTCTTAACTTACTTAACCTTTGTTAGCTGTATTATTATTATTATTTTTATTGCTTCTTACTTTTCTGCAAAAAACAATTTTCTTGATGGGCATAAATTATTTGAATTCTCCCGAACAGCTTAGAGGTTGGCTATTAACAATATCTTGGACGAACTCTCGGAAACTATAAGACTTTTTTTAACTAAGCATACGTATTCTAAAGAAGTCACCACAGCTTAAGGTGACTTTCGAAAAGAAAAAATCACGGCACGCGAATACATATTTATATCAGTTACTCGTAGTGCAAAAGGATATTTTGGATTTGTTGAAAAGTATGTAACAGGTAGAAGGAAACGTTTCCGACCTCACAAAGTATATATATTCTTTGATCAGGATCAATTGCAAAGTCGATTGAGCCATGTACATCTATCCGTCTGTCTGTCAGACCGTATGTCCGTCAGTTTGTCTGTCCGTATGCACGCTGAGATCTTAGGAACGATAAAAGATACAAACTTGAGATTAAGCATATTTTTACAACCCTTTTAAGCCCAAAACTCGAAAGTGGCAATTATTATTATTATAATGTATGTTTTCGTTTGACCTTGTATAAAATTTTTTTGTCAATATCTATCCAATTACCATAATATTTTTCCAATCGGAACATGATTTCCCTATTTATAAAGAAATTTGGGTTACATGCTTTTTTGACAAAAGGTGGTGCTTTGTCCATTTCCACTAGCAAAATGAATATTTAAAATTTATGTAAAGCAGTAACGGGTATCTTACATTCGCGGCACTCGACTATAGCGTTTCTTGTATTTTTTCACTTGCTGCTTATTTATTGAATGTTCTCTTGTGGGAGACTAAAAATAGGTTATCAAATCTTAAGTGTAAACAAAAACCTAACTAAATAGTTGACAGCTGTTATAACAGGTGCCTCAATTATTTTTATTTCTGGGCATTGAAATCGCTGCGTTGCAGTCGAGTGCTGTCTGAGATCATATTCGTTTTTTTTTTCTTCGGTAGGTCTCTTTGAAACTATAGTTTGCCTATTAGAATAGTGTTGTAGTCTAATCGTGTCAGTTGTAGTTTTTTACATTCAATATGTATCGCCATGTTAGACGTCTATCCAGGTAGACATCTACATAATTTATTTCGCTAACTTGCAGGATTTGGGTGTTCTTCGAGGTTATCGGCGGGCATGTCTGCATGTCTTGGTTACAATAATGCGACTCAAGTCAAATATGCGCCGTTTTGTTAGATAGAAGCATAGAAGCTCGCTTCCCTATTGGCAAAAAACTCGGAGAGCCAATTTTCACAGGCCTCTCTTGTAGCCAACTTCAGACTACCAAGCGCGTTCGCCACGGACAGAAACAGGTGGTAATCACTTGGTGCGAGATCCGAACTATACGGTGGATGCAAAAGAACCTGCCATCCGAGCTCCCGGAGCTTCTGGCGCGTCACTAAAGATGTGTGTGGCCTGGCGTTGTCCTGGTGGAAGACAATTTGGCGTCTGTTGATCAAAGATGGCCTCTTCTGCATGAGTGCTGTCTTCAAGCGGTCCAGTTGTTGGCAGTACAGGTCCGAATTGAGCGTTTGGCCATTGAGGACCAGCTCATAGTGGATTATTCCCTGCCAAACCCACCAAACACACAGAAGAACCTTCCTGGCCGTCAATCCAGGCTTGGCCACCGTCTGGGCCGCTTCACCGCTTTTCGACCACGACCATTTGCGCCTTACGTTATCGTAAGTGACCCACTTTTCATCGCCAGTCACATTACTCCTCAGAAACGGGTCGATTTTGTTGCGATTTAGAAGCGATTAGCATGCGATGATACTACATAAACTGCACAAATTTTATTAACGGCTTGAGATGCATTTTTGCCTTTATCGTAGTAGTACTGTAAAATATGCCGTATTTTCTCTTTATTTTGGTCCATGATTGCGACGCCATAACTCACGAACGACTTAAAAGGAAAGACAATCAATCAAACATGTGTTAGTGCGTGAAATGAGCTTTCCAAAACGGTATAGTATGACCTGATGCGACGAATAAAACAAGAACTACGCGCTTTCAGCGCCAACTAGCGAAAATACCGCAAGACTTTTTTGACAACCTAATATGTTTGCCATTTTGTTCGTTGATTTTACCTCGTTGATTTTGCTTCCCTAGTTCCTCTGTAGGACAAGTTTGGAATTTCGAACGGCTCAGAATGGCGGATTCGTCAGCAAACATGGATGTAGTTAGACACTCGCTTGTGGGGTGTCAGCCCAGGGTACTACCTTGAGGCACTCCAGCCTCTGTAGTATAGGAATCCGATGTTGTTGCTTTGCATCTTACCGAAAACGATCTTTAATATATGTAGATAGGACTCAAATTAGTTTTTGCATATTTTTTGTATGCAGTATGTCAGACTCTGTCAAACGCTTGGTTTGCTGGTTTCCCAGGCCCTATGCAGGCGAATTTTCTTCAGAACAAGCTGTTCTATCAGAAGATTAATTGGGTAGGTGTTGAAATTGTTTCTGCTTCGACAAAAACTGATTCCAGATCGATAGTAGAGTCCGACAATGTCAATGGGTCAAAGTCATGGTGCGTACTCACATATTTCTTGTATTTTATCCGGTTGTTGTGTGCGACATCAGCGTTTGTGGGTTGTTCCTGATTTCGGGGCTATGTAGAAGCGTTACTAGTATAGGAGAGTGATCAGGTGCAGATATTTAGCAGTTATTAGATTACGTGGAATGTATTCGGTCACACTAAAGTCGATTAAATCAGCCAGTTTTCTGGGGTCTGCTAGCTAGTAGATTGAGCTATCCGGAGGTATGCAGTAAAGTTTCTTTACCAGATTTATTATTGCATTACATAACTGTTTGTCTCCAGCTACTAAAAATTGGTTTCAGAAAGAGTGGAGGAAGTCCATAAATTGTGAGATTTTAAAGCTAGGCGAATAGTAATAGTCTTATATCCTGCAATAGTCTTATACCCGCTGTGTAACTGTGATCAGTCATCGGTGTGGCTTGTAAATAGTTCGTTGAAAAACTTAGGTGAAAATGGAGCTTAACGCGGTCTTTCATTAAAATGCCGGTACCATGCGCATTGTCGTCCGGATGGTCGGTTCTGTTTAGCGTATAGACTCTTATAAGAAAGTTGTAAATAGTGTTTAAACGTGTTTTTGGAAGCAGCATAACGTCGATGTGATTTTCCTGAAGGTCTTGTTTTTTTCCAGTTTGTGCCTTGAAATGCAGTTGACTTTCCATATTGTTATTCGAACATCCGGTATTGATTACATTGATTTGTGGGACGCCAGCATCTGTATTAAGTTCATTTTAATTTGCATCACATTTTGCACGGTGGTTTTCATTAGACGACATTAATTCAATCACGCTCTTTTACAGGCTGACTATCATGGATTCGATGTTGATTTGGTAGCTTTCCGTGACTTGATTGCTGCTTCTTTGGAGAAGATTAATTCCGGTGGTATTTTAGATTGAACAAAACAATTTTACTTGTTTACAGAACGTGCCGATGTACGGCACATCGATGTACATCGATGTCACTCGCTGCATTCGGCTCTTGAGATCATTGTACACGGGGCAGCTGGTGGTTTCCTCCGTAGTTTCCACAGGTGTTTCGAAACAGACTGTCTCGAGAATTTTCCCATTTGTAATATTGTTGACAAGTGCAATGGAGATTTTCTCTGAAATAAATTGGTAGGGGCTTTGTTTTATTTTGGGCCAAAGAGAGAGTGTATTTCTCACTCGTTTTTTGCGCTTTCTGATATTTGCAATTTTTAGATTTAAAGTAGCGTTTTTTCGCAATCATTTCGAGGCTATTTCGCACAGCTGAACGTACCATATGCCGCGGTGCAAGTTTTTGTGAAGTAGGGAAAGATCCGATTTCTCGGAAAAAAGGAGACGCCCTGGATTTAGTTAAAAGTAGTTTAACTATCTAGAAACCACAAATAATTTTTTTTGTTAGAACAGTTTTAAAATTTATAATATGATGAAATTTGATGTCTTATTCTCGTTCTTATATAATATTTTTTCTTCTGATGGCAGATAAAACCGTTAGTGGCGGAGCTGAACCCACTAGGTCTGCTGCTGCAAGCAGGGAGCGGATGCTGCGGAGATGAGCAGAGGTAACCTGTCAAGAAATGGAGGTCCTGCATCATAGTCTGTGATGCGGACTGAAGACTCAACGATTATCACCCTCGAGTCAATGGCGAAGCGTCTGCGAGATCGATTCGCCACGCTTTAGGAGGAAAATTGGAAATTTTCTCAGCTGGCCAGGTGGAACTTGCAAAGCGCTCTAGGAGAGGTGCTGCCCTCTTTACGCTTTTGAATGGAACCAGTGGTGCTGATATTTCACCACTCCATAAAGGCCTGCTCCCTTATTGTCCACGTTGCTGATGCCAACATTCCGCGATGGATATGCCGAGTGCCCGGATTTCTAAGCCCTGTTTAAGACGACGATTGACAGCCATCCTTAATTGACCATGATGGAGAAGCTCAGGTGGCTCATTTCATGTCTGCGGGAGTCAGCCTTGGAGACTGTGAGAGCGCTGGAGATTACTGACGCTAACTATGATGTTGCCCTTGATCTTTAGCGCAACCGTTTTAGTTATCGACGATTAATATTCCAGGCTCACATCAACGAGATCCTGCAGCTACGGGAATTATCCGACCGATTCAATGCTCATATGCGGCCCCTCATAAGTTCCGGGACAGCGAAAGAAAGTCAAGGATGCCTCCTCATCCAGATCATCTTTCAAAAGCTGGAAAGACTCAATCGCAGGAACCAATGCTGACAGCTTGCCAACTTGGAAATCTATGGCTC